TGTTCTAATGGTGTTTGTAAATAGGATCACAAGTCCGCATCTTGTACAGCAATTAACCACTAAGAAGAATATATGCAGTGTATTATTTGTTGAAAAATAAAAAAAAAAGAAATTGACAGTGCTTTTATTCAACAAAAGCCCTGTCAATTTCTGCACTGATAAATATTTAAGAATATAGGGAAACTGTATAATGAAACTGAGCTTATTAGTTTTACTTCAAATAGAAAATCAACTGTAAAACCTTCAAATATGACTTTGTGAAGCTAAATATATGTTCGTATATATGAATTATGCAGTTCTCTATATAATTCATACATATATAAAAATATGAATAATTTGAACGTCTAATTTCTATTGGAGAGTTGTTGCAAGTCTAGCAAAATCAGTAATTACTCATGTAAATATAGGAAGAGTATTTAAGAAGATGTCTATAAATACTCTTGCAGCATTTATAAAGTCCACAGTTGTCTCTGTTAGCTTTCTAACTAATTTTAGTTTTCTAATGCTATATTAATTATTTACTGATGATAAAATGATTCCAAAACTAAGTGGTGTAAAACAGCAAGCAATTACTACATCAATTCTGTGGGTCAGGAGTCTCCGAGCAGCCTAGCTAGATTTCTGTGACTCAGGTCATGTGGTTACACTCAAGGTGACTTGGTTGGGGAGGAGATGCTCCTGTGATCTGTACTGAAGGCTTGGTTGTGTGGGTGGATGGCAGAGGAGGGCGATGTTCATCCCAGGTCATTCACTGATTGTGCCCACACCTCAGTTCCTGCCTATCAGGCAGCCTTCCGCATGGATCCCTCACAGAGTGGCAGCTGGCTTTCCGCAGTGTGGTTTAACCATGAGAGCTGTCAAGACTGCTAATGTGATGAAAGTCAGTCATTACAGAATCTGATCTCAGAAGAGATGTCCCATCACTCCTGCCCTATCCTAAGTGTTTTAGTAAGTCCAGCATAACATTCAAAAGGAAAGGATTGTACCAGGAAATAGGAGTCACCTGGGGACATCTTAGACATTGCCTGCCACAAATACTTTATTTTCTTTGTGAAACCTTGCCATTTGCAGTGATATAGTCATCAGTAATAAGGACCTGAGCACAGTTGGCTCATTGTCAACAAAGCGGTATTCTTTCAGTTTATGTGTGACTCTGAAGTCAGTTTATAGAAGAATAAGTTCAAATTGACATGCAGACAAATAGAATGGATGCCTAAAGGCTATAGAACATAATTTTAAGCACTGTGAAATAAACATCTCTAGGGATGTAACAGGTTCAAGGTTTTCTCCAAAGAGGTAAGAGAGGCCCACAGCAAACAACTGCAACCTTGCTTTGTCACAGCCAATTAAGTTTTCCTCATTTTTTTAATAAAACTGAGAAACAATATAGTATATATACATAATGAGTGGAAAATATTGAATGGAAATTTATTGATTTAGTTATTTAATTTTCTTTCTTTCATTTGTTCTTTTTTTTTTTTTTTTTCAACATTGTGAGTTAAACCCAGGGTCTTTACACTGCGTTACATCCCCTGACCCCTTTCTGAAATAGCTTCTTGCTAAATCATTAAATTGTTTAGGCTGGTTTTGAGCTTGGAATGCTCCTGCCTCAGCCTTCTAGAGTACTAGGATGATAGGTGTGTGCTACCATGCCCATTTAGTTTTGGTGGTATTGTGCTGACTAACTGAAGTGAAGGTAAGTTGAGATGTCTTTTCCTACCAAGGCAGACCAAAACACTTGTCCGTAAGGCAATGTATAGAATAATGTTGTATATTAAGACAGTGACTACACAAAAGGTCAGTCTTTCACTGTTTCTTTTAGTTGATTATAGTTCTTCTGACTTCATAAAAACCTAGTAGCTCCAAATGATATGCTTGACATTAATTTAGTGGGCCTTAATATTTTGTCTGCTTTAATAAAATTTGTCTAGAACTAATGACTATTTCTTGTTGAATTATTTTTGCCATTTAAAACATTGTTCTGTTTTATGTGTGGAAGCTTTTTGGGCAATGGTTGGCATATGATAAGCACTCAGTAAATATTTCTTTCATGTTTTGTAGAAGAAACTATGTCTCTGTGTAATGTTAAGTGCTTTCATGGCATGTAGAACTAATATTTAATAGTACCTGAGTGTTGTGTGTTTTTCAACCACCTTAAATTTACAGAATGAATAGCTTTTGACTCTCTTTCACTTTTCTAAATGATTTTTACCAACCTTAATCCACACAGTTTCTTGAATTACAATTGAAAATGACTTTTGACTTGAGTAATTTCAAAACAGAATACTTGGATGATTCCATTTTTCTCTTCCTTCTTTGTTTTCCAAATTTAAAATAAATAGTTGATAATTCCTAAGCCAGTTTATTTTGGTGTAGAAAAGGAAATTTCTAAAAACCTACAGTTATGAGGATTGATGTGCATGTGCTTTCTACTTATAAACTAATGCTATTTTCCTTGTCCTTTTGTTTCACTGCTGCTTCCATCCTGATGCATTTTGCTTCTTCCTGATTTGGATTGTATTTGTTTGCTGCTCAATTACTCTGCATTAAAAGCTTCTTGGTGATAGCAAAGATATCCTTGGGCCAGCAAGTAAGTAGCTTGAGTTTAAATGTCATGTTTGGGGACATGAAAATATTTTGATGTGTACTTACAAAATTCAAATGATATCTCAATTTTGACTTATTAAATCTTCTTTTCTTTCTAGGCATTTAAAGGCATTTACTTTGTAGTATAATAGTGATTATAATAGGGAACAGAAATGTTAGCTGGGTGTGGTGGTTACACCTGTAATCCCAGCACTCAGAGGAGGCTGAGGCAGGAGGATCACTGTTAGTTCAAGGCCAGGCTGGTCTACACAGTGAGTTCAAGGCCAGTCTGAACTACATAGTGAGACCCTGTCTTGGAGGTGTGTGTGTGTGTTGGGGGGAGGCATAGAAATGGTCAGTGCTGCCCGGCGCCCATCTGTTCTCATTGATTGTCAGGGACCAGCAGTGTTATTTACATCTTTAGGTGCTCAAGATGCCTCTTTACTTAACTGTCTAGCTGATAATTTAGACCTCTTTTTCATAGCATTCCTTTTTCAGTGATTAGAAAACATGAAACAGACTACTTTGCAGCTGATCATAGTACAAGAAGCTCACTGCCATATGAAAATGATACATTGTTTTATTCTGTTTATTTAGAGTTTTTATATAAAATACTTTTATTATTTTTTTTTACTTTTAACATTTTTTATGCTTTTTGAAATTTTATTAATGGAACATGCTTTTACTTTAGGGATTAAGAACCGTTTAGAATTATATTAACAAATTTCACAAAGAGGTTCTTAGGGATGGGGCCAGGCCCATAAAGCGTGCTGCCTGCCCCTCTATTTGGAGAGCAACAGGGATAACGTTAGTACTAAACATTCTGAGAATTACTGAGCTAAAGGAACAGTTATGGATGGTCTTATAAAAGAATATTGTTATAAATGAAGAAATGAAAGCTAGGAGATTAAGTATCCAGGAAGCATTGGTTACGAGTTCACTGTATCTTCTGTTACTCAGAAATCAGACTGAAGGTATTTGCTCAATTCAAGTTTAATCAAGTATTTAAAAATTCCCTGTATCAGAAATTAGACAGGGCCGAGGAGATGGCTCAGTAGAATAAGTGCTTCCCTGGCAAGCACAAGGGCCTGAGTTCAATCCCCGGTTTCGCAAAAAAAAAGAAAAGAAATTAGACAAATATTTTAATATTATTGAAGAACAAAGAAATTATATTGGTTTTGGATATATTAGTATTTTTCTCTAAGTAGTTTAGTCTTTAGTCTAGGGCTGGGGATGTGGCTAACTTGTAGAGTTCTTACCCTACTTACACAAAGCCCTACAGCACCCCCCCCCCACACACACACGTGTTTGGTGTAGATCAGGTGCTGTTTGTCCCCAGTATTTGTTAGAGCATGTATATATAATTTTATTCTAAAAGTAAATTATATTAAAATTCTTTTTCCAGGATGAATGAGATAGCTTAGTGGTTTAAGGGTTTGGCTGACAAGCACAAGGTCCTGACTATGACACACCTTTTTTTTGCGGTACTAAGGATTGAACTCAGGACCTTATGCTTGCAAGGCAAGCGCTTATTCTACTGAGCTATCTCTCCGGCAAGGTCCTGGCTTTCCCAGTACAAAAAAAAAAAAAAAAAAAAAAAAATCCTTTTTAAAAATTCTTGACTGCAACAGTTTGTAACTTTTAAAATATATTCCCTATTATATAATCCAGTATTTCTAAGACAACTACTACTTTAAAAGGAAGAGAAAAATACAGAAATCTTATAGTTTTAGGACTTACAGATTATTTAGGACTTTAAAACTTACTTTTTTTTTTTATCTTACCTTCAATTTAGATTGAGAGCAAACCCCAGAACTTGAAAATTATAAAACTCTTCAAATTTTATTTATTATTTTATTTTATTTAGATGGGGAATGGTGGTCCAGACTGGCCCAGAACTCTTCCTCTTGGCCATAGCCTCCAGAATAGCTGGGATTACAGGTGCACCAGTGTTTTATATTGATGAGTTGAATTTACAAAGTAGAGAATGTTAGTTATAGATTCATATCCATATTGAAGGCACAGCTGGTATGTTAATTGCAATACTATTGGTTATTCCAGTGTGATTTCTACTAAATATGAGCAGAGTAGTGTGAGCAGCAGATTATTTTACCTCTACTGTAAAGAGAACCAGCAGAGGGCACTGCAGGAAGTGAATAAGGGAGGGCAGTCCTGTAGCGTTTCACTACCCAAATGTTTCTTCAGCCAGTTAGCAGATACTTAGCAGTTATGTGCCAGTGAACACGAATAAAGCCACTGTTCTTATGCTTCCAGTCAGATAATCTACTATTATATAAATAGCATAGGACACTGAAGTGATTTTTATGTTGTACAGAACCTTTTTTGTTTGTGTAGTTTTTGAGGCTTATGAATGGGGTGAGAGAATACAAATAGAAAGTTGGATTTCCTGTTTTTCTTATAAAGAAGTGCACTGTGAGCTCTGCCATTTCTACATACTGTCACACTTCAGGGTAATCGGAGTACTACCTTATTTTAAGATGGATTCAAAGGAGGGAAATAAAACTAAACTAAATTTGTACTTCTAGAATGATTTCCTATTTTACACAGTGAAGTTATTCAAGACATGCATATATATATATATATATTTTGCTGATAAAGTCCTAAAGCCAAACTGTCTGATTCATACAAAAGAATGTCTTATGTAAATGATAAAGCATAACCACTGAGCATATATTAAGCCAATATACAACTCAAAGTAAAAAGTAGAATCTTAAAAATATCTTACATCAGGGCCGGCCAGATAGCTCAGTGAACTGAAACACCTGCTTAGGCAGAACACAGGGACCGGGCTTCAATCCGTACCACGAGCCATGCTGGCCTTTGGGATGTGCTGAGAAGGTGATTGAGACTGAGTGTGGTGGTACATGCTTGTAATCCCAGTGCTTGGGAGGCTGAAAACAGGAGGATCACTACAAATTTGAGCTGCCTAGTAAGACTCTGTAGACTCTGTATTAAATACATAAAAAATAAATATATCTCACATCTTCCTGCCTGTTACTCCTTGACTATCTCCAAAGGTAATGACTATGCTGTCTTGTTTTAATTTACCACTTTTTACTTACTTACTTTATTTATTTTGGCTTTTTAAAGATAGGATCTTGCTATGTAGTTCAGGCTAGCTTTGAACTCCCTATGTAACCCAGGCTTTGCTTGAACTGGAAGTCCTTCTGCCACAGTCTCCAGAATGCTGAGATTACAGCCCATACCCAGCTTTCTTTATTTTCTGACAGCCCCCCCCCTTTTTTTTAATAATACCGGGGATCCAACTCAGGACCTTGAACTTGCCAAACAAGCACTTATTCTACTGAGCTATATCTCCTCAGCCCTTTTTCTTTGCTTTTTGAAAGCAAGCTTTCTTGCTTTTTTTTTTTTTTTTTTTTTTGGCAGAACCAGGGCTTGAACTCAGGCCCTTCACTTGCCAGACAAGTGCTTATTCTACTGAGCCATCTCCCTGGCCCCTTTCTTGCTATTTTAAAATTAACCAAGTTTTGCTTGGTTTTAATTTTGCAAGAATGGTATACAATATGTAATCTTGCTTTTGGTGGTGAATGATGTATTTTCTACTTCTGAACCATGTTGTTTCTTATAAAAATAGACCTATTTCTTATAAAAATGACCATTCCACTTTCAGTGCTAAGTGCTGTTTCATCATATAAATGTGTCAGAGTTTATTAATCCATTTTATTTTCAACTGATACTTAATTATTGGTTTCTACTTTATAAATAACATTGCTATTCATTTATGCTCTTGATCCTTGGCATACACAAGTAGTAATTTTCAAGATATAAATCTAAAGGCCAATGAGATAGCTCAGTGGACTAAGCACCTGCTTAGCAAGGACTGGGGTTCCATCCCTGTTACTGCATGCTGTGCCAACCCTGTCCCCGGTGCTCTGAGCCAGACGGGTATGGTGGCATGTGCCTGTAATCCCAGCAGTGGGGAGGCTGGAAACAGGAGGATCATTGTGACTCCAAGCTGCATAGTGAGACCCTGTACCAAATACATTAAAAAAAAAAAAAAGACTTAAATCTAAAGGTAGAATTGTTAGACCTATGTAGGGTATGCTGAATGAAATTCACCTATATATAAAATAGCTTAAATTGTTTTCTCAAGTGCTTGTATCCATGTGTACGGTACCAGTGTGCCAGAGGGGTCTTGTTCCCATCATCATCATCATCATCATCATCATCATCATCATCATCATCATCATCATCATCATCATCAGTATTTGATGCTATCACACTTATGTTATTTTAATCTTATTATTAGGTATTTATCTCATTTTGATCTTGGTTTTTATTTCTTATTAAGGACAAAGAATATCTTTTTATATACTTTTATATACTTATTTCTGTGAAATGATATATGATTATTTCCCTTAGTTTTCTGTTATGCTGTTTTTCTAATTGACTTGATAGAAATATTTTTTTCAAACATTCTCATACCAACTTTTTGTTAATTACAAGTGTTACAAATATATTCTTTTCCTGTCTTGTGCCTTTCTTGTCAGTTCATTATGGAATCATTTGGTTAAATGAATTGCAATTTTAATATAGAATTTATTCTTTTGTTTTTTGGTCAGTGTTTTGCTACATCTTTTTTAAAAAATCATCATTCCGTAACCCAAGTTCATAAAGATTCTATCTTAGCGAATTCTATAGAAGTCCTGATAGTTTCAGCACTGCTGAAAAGTCCAAGTCCCAAGTCTCCTCTGAGAGGTAAGATACTCTTAGCTGTGAGCCCCTGTACAAATGAAAAGAAAGTTAAATATTTCCAACATTCAGTGGCACAAGATAGACATTTCTATTCCAAAAGTGACAGACCAGTGGACCAAAGCAAGTCCAAACTCCAACAGGGCAAACGTTAAGTCCTGTAGGCCCATTTGGAATGTCCAAAGCAATCTGGGGTAAATTATGAGCTTGCAAGGGTTTGCATGATGCCACCCCTGTGGCACTTGCAGTGGTTGTAGCTCCCATGGCTTCTCTCTTAGGCCTGCTTTGCTGGTTTTCTCAGATGATCCATGTTCCTGGATTCTCTAAACTTCTGGGGTCTGCACTGGACTACAGCTTCACACTCACAGCTTCACACACTGCCCTTTCAGCGGCACACTACCTGACCTCCCTGGCCTTCTGAAATTGAGGTGCAAGCCTTCTTAGCCACACAGCTCTTGCATTTTCATGCACCTAAAGCCAGCGCCATGTGGATACTGCCAAGGTCTGCTGCCAGCCAGAGCAGTGGACAGGCTTTTCTTCTCTCTTGGCTAATAGGGGTCAAGTGCCTGGATTGCGGAGCACTCTGCGTCCAATTCTAAGCAACAAATTCTCTGTGCTGCTGCCATTCTGGAACTTAGTGTGGCTGCTGCCATTTTGGAACATGGTTTTCTACAGCTTTCTCCTCAAAGGAAAGTCTTTCACTTTGGCAGTTTTTAGGCTGCAGAGGGTGAGGTACTGCTCTGCTCCTGCTTCTGCTCCATTCTTTTTTATTTAGGGTCTAGAGTCTCACTACACAGATCAGAATCATAGTGATCCTCCTGTTTTCAGCCTCCCAAGCCCTGGGATTACAGGCGTGTGCCAGAATGCCTAGTCTCATGTGCCCTGGAGGCAGGGCTGGCGTGGCAGGCTACGGATGGAACTCCCAGGTCCTGTATCTGCCTAAGCAGGTGCTTTAATCTGCTGTGCTATCTGGCTGGCCCTCTGCTGTTTCTTATGATGTCCTTAGGCCATCTTTTTTATATTCTTGTTCCTACTCAGTAATCAAGATTTCCTCTGCTCTACCTTTGCAGTTCACAGCTTTACCAGAGCTTCCTTTTTTGCCGTATTCACAGTGTTTTAAATCATCTTGTAGGGCTCTTTGCTTGTGATTTTCAACAAAAATCTAGCTGAAAGTCCCCAACAATAGCTATGTCACCACCTCAACATTTGCCTGCCTTGAAATTTTTTCTGCCAGTTTAATTAGTCCACTGCCCATAATAGTCTCAGGCAAAGTCTCTGGACATAAGGAAAATGCAGACAAAACTTTTTACTGAGCCGTAACACACATTGTCTGGAGTCCAACAGCCAGTACAGTCCGTCTTCCCAGCAGAAACCTCCTGAGCCTGGTCTTTATTGGCAGGATTTCTGGCAACCTCTGGTCTTCTGAGCTTTGACCAGAATCTCCCATACAGAACAGCCTAAGTTATTTCAGCACTGCTCTTTCAGACGCCATCTCCAAAGCATTCCAAACATTTCCCACAAGGCATTCCCATAGGCTCTTGAACCACATGGTCAGATGTAGTCACAGCAGTGACTCCACTTTTTGGTAACAAACAGTGTCTTGGTTACTTTTCTCATGTTGCTGAGATAAAATACCTGACATCCAAATTAAAGAGGGAAAGGTATAGTTTGTGAAGGTTTTAGTCTTAATCTGCTGGCTGCAAAGCAGGGTATTATAGCAGAAGGCAACAGTTCATGGCAGCGGGATACACCAAAAGCAAGAGGAGCAAAAAGGGAGGAGAGACCAAACCTCTTTTTCTCCCCTACATTGTATACGGGCTTCCCGCCTTAGAGTTGGTGTAGCACTCACACCCATAGTCACAGCATAGGACTATGAATCAATCACAAACTGTAGAAGCCAACCCCATGGACATCTAGACACAAGCCGTGGGACTGTGTTGTATTAAAATTAAGAGCTTAATTTGTTAGCGAGAACCACAAAGAAACGAGAGGACTTTTCTGAAGAGGTGACATTTGAACCCACAGTATTCCAAGCAGAAGGAGCAAGATTTATACAGGCACCAAGGTTGACAGGGAGGGTTTTGTGGAATACTAAGAAGGTCATTATGACAAGAGCAAAATGAGTGACAGGAGAATATTGGAGAATGAGGTTGAAGGACAAGCAGATACCAAACCATATTTGCTCTTTAGGGTGTGAATTTTAAGTAAAGTGAAAACCATTAAGGATATAGTGAACAGGTAGAGATCTGCTGCTGAGGGCCACTAGGAAAGTAATGGTAGCTTGGATCAGAGAGGTTGTTGTGGAAGTGGGGAGAAGTACTAGGATTCCAGATAAATTTTGAAGAGAGTCTAAAGATCTCACAAATAATTGGATGTGAAATAATAGGGAAAGTAAAATTATATACATCTAAGGTTTTTGTCCTTAGGAGAATGGGTTAGATAGGAGTAGTGACACTATTAAGATGGAGGAGAGAGGGGTAGATTGGGAGGATAAATAAAATCAACAATTAAAGTCTAGGTAAGTTTGAGATACCTAGTAAATAACTTTAAAATGAGGCAATTAGACATGTGAGTTTTAGTTTGGGGGAGATGTTAAAGCTGGAGATACAAATTTAGGAGATATTAGTCTGTATTTTTAATTGACTTGGTAAATACTTTTGTATATCTTTAATGGAATAAATGAAAGTGCTTTATAGTTTTACTTGGAAATAGAAGGAGCTAAAATCTCATTTTGTAGAGTTCACTATGAAAAGTTGCAGTGATATGGTTTAGGAAAAAATGATATTATTTTGAATGTAATATTCTGGTTAAGTTGAAAAAAAGCACGAAAACATAAAATGAAAAATTGAGAACTAGGTCAGTTTAGGCTTAATATTTACCCCATCCCTTTACTGAGTGTTTGTTTTCGCTCCTCTCTTTTCTCATTTCTATCCTTTTATGTTGCTTTCTTCTTTTGTTGGCAGCTTGGCTCTAAGGGTGAGAAGCAGCCTCAAAGAGCACTTTTTACACTGATTATGGGGTCAGCAAGTTTTTAAAAGACAGACTTTGGAACCAAATGGTCCTGATTTAGTGCCTTACCTCTATTTACTGACTACTTTGTCTTAGGCCAGCCATTCTCTGAACCTCAGCTTTTGAAACCAAAGCCTAAAACAAAATCCTGCTTTTCATGAGAATTAGAAGTTAAAGTATAAGTACAAATGCTAGTACATATAAGGTATTCTTTTGGACTTCTAATAGTTTGTATTTTTTTCCTGGTTACTAATGAGGCTGAATATCTTTTTATATGCTTTTTTGAGGGGCTTTTCCCATTAAAGATGACTTTATCTCCTGCCTGGCAGATACAAGGTCCTGAGTTTGATTCTTGGTACCCACCTCCCCCAAAAAAGACTGTCTTATTTATCATTTTACTGGTAAATGTAAAGAGCTAATAGCTTGGTGAAAAGTTCACAGAACACCGTGGGGTGCTGGTCTTTCACCTGCCTATGTATCGCATATTTGAGTCTTGCCTATTTGCATATTTGTCAATTCTTGGATTGATAATCATGTGAATTTATTAAAGTATTAAGCTGTAAAATGAATTTAATTATTAAGACCATTTCAATTGTTATTCTGTTTCATCTTATTGAATATTTCATACGAATGTATTGAAATATTCATACGAATTTAGGACTAACAATCTTTGCTTTTTTTCCTTGAGCTGCTGTAGCAAACAGTGACGAATCTCAGCTTCTGCTGACACCAGGAAAGATGAGTCAGCGCCAAGGCAAAGAAGCTTCTCCGACACCAACTAAAGATTTGCATCCACCATCTCTCAGTCCAGCAAGTCCTCACAGCCAGGGTGAGAAGTTGTACCGTGGTGCTTTGTTGTGTTTGCTTGTTTCTGTGGATGAAGACAGAATGACATTTGAGGTCTATCATGATATTTCTTCTTTTAAGCTAACTTTTGCTTTAAAAACCTTGTAAGAATTTGAATTTTATTTGGGTTATTCTTAATAATCTTAAATTACCTGTTCCTTTATAGTGCTTTAGTTTTTCTTATTCTCTCTAACATACTTAGTTATTCCATTCATTTAATTCATTGATTCTCTTACTTGTTGGTCTTATAGTGAGTACCTTTAAACTCTTACAGAGTATTGAAGATATAAAAGAGGTTTTGTTTGCATGGGTTATATCTGTTGATGTGTCCTGTACTATAAATTAAAATTAAGAAAAATTAAACATTTTTCTATTTATTTAAAATATGAGTTACATATTAATATGAATAACATTTCATTTTTTTGTTACCTCATATACTTATCATTTCTTTGTATTCAGAACATTCAGAATCCTCTGTATAGCTGGGCATAGTGGCATCTGCCTGTAATCTCAGTACTGAGGAGTCTGAGGCAGGAGGATCACTAAGAGTTCAAGGCCAGCCTGCACTACATAGTGAGACCCTGTCTTAAAAAAAAAAAAAGACCAAAAACTGTGCTTAATGTTTGAAGATACACAATTAACTGTTGCCAGCCATAGTTATCATACTGTGCTATAGAACATTAAAATTTGTTCCTTATTCATTTGCACCCTGCTTACCACTCTCTCTACCTCCTCCTTCCTTTGCAGACCTAGTAACAGTTTTCACTCAACTTCTATGAGATCACATTTTTTAGTTTCTAGGAATAAGTGAGACAGGCAGTATTCATCTTTCTGCATCTGACTTACTTCACTTAGGTTTGTAGTTTCATTAATATTGCTGCAGATGACAGAATTTTAGTCTTTTTATGGCTGAATACTACTCCATCACATATATGCACATCATACTTCCTTTAGCCATTCCCCCATTTGTGAGCACACAGATTGATTCCATACTTGGCTGTTATACATAGTGCTGAACTGGATATGGGAGTGCAAATACCACTTGAGACACTGATTTCCTCGCCTTTGGATATATACCCTATGGTGGGATTCCTGGGTCAGGAGTAGCATTTTTATTAGAAATTACTATCCCCTCCCCCCACCTTTTGAAAGTCTTTGTACATCTCTTCAATAAATATTTAGCTTAATGAAAGCTATACTGCAATATTGGCTTTTGTAATCAGTGTGTTATGTGATTATCTGATTGAATAATGAATAAAACTTGGTCGTACAATATATGTATCTTTTATATATAATTTTAGATACAATATTTTTCTTTAACTATACACCAAAACTTGACGAGTAGTAGTTCCTTAAATGTTTGTTACTGGGCTGCCGACATAGCTGAGCAGACTAAGTATCTGCTTAGGCAAGTGCAGTGACCAGGCGTTCGATCCCCAGTTCCACATGCCATGCCTGCACCGCCCCCGGGTGTGCTGAGCTGGCAGATGAGTCTGGGTGTGGTGATGCATGCCTGTAATTCCAGGGATGGGGAGGCTGAAAACAGGAGGCTCACTACCAGTCAGAAGTGCGTAGTGAGAACCTGTACCAAAAACATAAAATGAAAATATTTGTTACAACATGGAATTTAAAAGTACATCAGAACACTCTCCATACTCTGTTAAATTAAAATCTACTGGTCTATTTTGCATTTCAAATGGCTCTTTGCTTGTGCATGATTTTTTAATATCATTTGGAACATGTGTATTCACTGAATGATGCAGATTTTCCAAGTGTTGACACATTTAAAATTATACTATCAAGAAGTGCTTTACCCATGTTTCCCCTTTTTGTCACATAGAATTTTAAAGAGCCAGTGAGATAGCTCAGCAGACTAAGCACCTGCTTAGGCAAGTGCAGGAACCTGGCTTCGATCCCAGGCGTGCTGAGCTGAGATCGTAATTCCATTGCTGAGGAGGCTGAAAACAGGAGGATTACTACAGGTCCAAGTTGCATACCTGTACCAAATACATTTAAAAAAAAAAAAAAAAGAATATTAGAACTATATGAATGCAAGGTCAAAGTTAATAATTTTACAGCTTCTTCAAGGACAGCTATAAGTAAAATACATTCTTTAAGTACTTACCATGAAAAACTCTATTTCTACTATTGTAGCTTGATATATCTGCCTGAATTTGTAAGTTGCCAGCAGTTTTATTCCACATTGTTTTTTTTTTACTTTGAATGAAAACATCAACACAATGAAAAAATAAGACCAATTTTGACTTTACAGACCCTCTAAAAACATCTTGGAGACTCCAACAGGGTTCACAGATCATATGTTTTAATTCATAGTTGATGAGTTTATAGAGTGGATTCTGCTACTCAGATACAGTAGGGTAGATTCTACTGACTCAGGTCAGTTTATTTAATCAAATTTCAGCTCTGCTGTGGTACTACTATAACTACAAGAGAAGAACTTTTCTTTTAAAATGAAACTTGAATTTGGTGTTTTAAAGTTAAATATGTGTAATCATCCCACTTGATGTTTTTACTTTTTGTGGTTTCTGTTACCTGCTACCAACTGTGGTTTGAAATACTAAATGGAACATTCTGGCCGTAAACAACTCATAAGTTTTTAAGTACACTCCTTTTAGAATAGTGATGAAGTCTCACAGCATCCTGTTCCATCCACTATGAAGGTGACTTGTCCCTTCCTGCATTGTACCCATGCTGAGTACAGAACCTAATTTAAGCCATGGCAGTTAGAGAGGAGAAAGAAAGAAACCACAGGGCCAGGGATCTAGCTCAGTGACATAAGTGCCTGCCTGGCTAAGGGCAAGGTTCTGAGTTCAATCCCCCATACCAAAAGAAAAAACAAACCACAGTCATATAATTTGTATTACAGTATGTTTTCATAATTATTCTGTCATTATTAGTTATTGTTAATCTCTCACTGTGCATAACTTATAAATTAAACTTTTATTTTGTGTAGAGAGAAGCATAGTGTACATATGGTTCATTACTATTTGTGGTTTCAGACATCCACTGGTCTTGAATATATCCCCTGTGGTTGGAGGAGGGGAATTGTACTTGATTGAAATGGTTTTTTTTT